ATTCATTTTAGTCATACTCATCATATCTTGACTCTTCTTGAAGTTTTTAATTTGACACTTCCTACCACTTCTTAGAATATAAAAGCTTCTACGGTTCACAGATGTTTGCCACTGACGCAATCACTTTTGTTTAAGTAGCTACATCACTTTAAAATGAACCTGTGACCTTAGGTTTCCTTAATTTGCTTATTCTCCTCCCAACATAGTGATGCTCATTGAATAAGGTACTAGCAGCTAAGACAACTTATTTAAGTAATAAATATGTTAGCCAAGCTTGTAAAATACAGTACAGCTCTTCATTTTGATGATGTATGTAACAGCCCATACTCGAGACTTCTAAAGCTCACCACATGCCCTGTCAATTTAGTTCAACATTCTACTCGCTTTATTGATTACAGTTCTAAAATGACTGAACATGGTTGCTCTGCCTCCCATCACTTGCAGGGCTCTTTGTCTAGCCTAGTTATTATTATTTTTAACCTTGGCACTATTTTCTTTAAGTCTCATGCATTTTATCTGATATCCTTTCAGCATCTCCTTGAATGTGATAGCTCAACAACTTTCTGTCTGTGTACTTTTGTCTGCCTCACATTTCAAGTAATGGTGATTTATCTTTCATTCTGTGAAGAATACTTTGCCATGCGTAAGGATATCCACTATGATGTGGAGGTTTTAATTTATTTATAATTGCTGACATCAGCATTTTGTGCTGCCTCATCTCAAAATCTGTTAAAGTCATGGACCTGGGTAATAATTAACTACTTGTACCAATTCAACTAGTGTTTATATTTTTTGGCAGAATTTTTGCAGGTGCTTTCCAATTGTTTGCTCAGTTTTTTAAGCCATTCTAATACAGAGCTCGAGAAAGCACACAAGATTGAAGTTAATTAAAATTTCTAGTTCGGTGGCAGTTGATAAAGCCCAAAATTTATGATGTCAACCAAGTCAAGCACACCTCAAGCAGACATTGCATGGTCGTTCTCCATGGAGACCCAGCTGCAAACATGACCATAGAATGTATTTTCTACAGTATTTTCTAGCTGATACCTGTCATAAGCAGATTTCATGCATGATGCATCTTACGCATTTTGGATTATTTTCTTATCGCTTATTCACTTTGTGCTGATTTTGATATTATTTTCTCTGGCATAGGCTCTAACTTGCGGGCTGCCAGCTTTCCTCTCATGACATTTGTAACCTCCTTCAGCAGCACAAGTCCCTTCCTAAATTATCCATTCTTCTTCAGAAATGTGTGGAATATCTCTCCTTTACCTCATTAGTAGTTACCCACTCAGCAATGTGGACCCTAGGTTTGAATTTCACCCTAAATCTCTCTGTATCTCTCCCTCATTGCTTTCTCAAAACCCACTACTTCAATAAAGCTTTTAATCATCCCTTTTTACTTTGGGCTTTTGAAGTATCTTGGTATGATTTTCTTTATTAAAGGAGGTATCTAAATGCATGACACTGTTGCAGATTTACAGGAACAGATACGAACAAATTTCAGAGCAATGTTTGAGTCTGTGCCTTCCAACCCAACATGTTGCTTGAAAAGAAATGCAAGCCTCCTATTTGTTTTTCCTTTTTATCGATGTGACTCTGCTTCTATTTGTGCCTGGATTCTCACATTCTTGAAATATTTATGCATTTGGGGTCAAATTTATAAATTAGCACTGCTGCCACAGACCTTTGCATGGCAGGAGTAAGAATCAGTAATACAAAGTGGAGGGTATCAGGCATTGCACAACTTTCTGTTGATTAAAATTAATAGATATAATGTCATGGATGTATTCTGGTCCCCGGGAAGTTGCTCTTAATTAATAGAAATTGGTTAGCATCGGCTTAGAGAAGAAAAATCCTGCCTGATCAAGTTTCTTTTATTTTGATGTTTTCTGTAACATGTTTAATTATACTTTCAGAAAACCGCTGATAACGTTCCAAATGAAAGATTTATGTTTCTAAAAAATTAAGAGCACTTCATGTACATGAGCCAGCACTTTTATCTTTGAAAGTGTTCTCCCTTATACATTTTTTACTCCATGAGTTATTTGGCCAAAGAATTTAAGGCACATATTCCACATCCAACTTCTTCAGTGCATCTTTAATACAATCAATTTTCTTGCTTTTTTGTAGTTATTTCCATTTAAACTTATCATTGTAATATTATAATTCCCTGTTCCTTCACACTGGAATCATAAGCTGTCAAATTATAATTGTGGTTACTAGTACTTAGCTGTGTTCAACATTCAACGTTTTCTCTGTGTTCATTAACTTTGTGTTGCAACTCTACTAATTTGTGATTGTATTTCCCTTCTGTTTATTTAATTCTGTATAAACAACTTAGAGAATAATACCTTAAAGTACTAGGTTGCTATAATGCAGGCAGGGATATGAACTGATTGATCAATAGGCTAATTTTAAATATAGTGACAAAGCCAAAATTTAAAATATAGATCATCTTTCACATAAGCGATAACAATAATTAATCATTTATTAAAAGAACTCAATACTTAGGCCTCTGTAACAATATTGTTGTACTAGAAAATATGTTGGTAGCTGCCACACCAGATGCATATAGCTGAATTATATTTAAGTCTGTGAACTGATCTATGTATAAAGGAAACTACTGTGCTGATTACAGACCTGTAACCATACACTGAAAACCTTTCTCAGGTCTGATCCACACTGGTACACATTAACTGAACATGGGATTAGAATGTGATTAGGGTAAAACCAGAAAGTGCTGGAGTGGCATGGTGGCTCAGTAGTTAGCACTGCTGCCTCAAAGCGCCAGCAGCTCGGGTTTGATTCCACCTTTGGGTGACTGTCTGTGTGGAGTTTGCACATTTTCCCCGTGTCTGTGTGGGTTTCCTCCCACGATCCAAAGATGTGCAGGCTAGGTGGATTGGCCACACTAAATTGCCCATAGTGTCTGGGGATGGGTCTGGGTGGGATACTCTGAGGGTTGGTGTGGACTTGTTGGACAAAAGGACCTGTTTCTATAAGAGAAACTCAGCAGGTCTGGCAGCATCTGTGGTAACAGAAACTAAGTTAACATTTTGAGTTCATTATGAATCTTCTTTGGAACTCAATTTTGGGTCAATAAATGAGTTAATTGACTGGGTAGGTATAAAATGGGCATGAATTGAAATTGATTCTGAAACACAGGTAATATAATTGTGGAGGATAAAGCAAAAATGTAATATGAATGATTTGCTGATGGAAAAAAATACGTTCAGTGGTGTGTAAAAGCATCTCTGGATATATAAAAAAAAGTAAACAGAACTGATGAGAACTAGAATAGGGGAATTAGCGGGCATAAAAGCTGTAAGCATGACCATGTAATAAAATCTATCCACCCAAAAAAGATATCTTGTTTTGCATCTCACTGACTGGCTTGAATCACAGTTGACATTGGTAGTAGAGAATGTCTACCTGAAAGCGAAGATTAGAAACACAGGGCTGAATATTCCCATTTTCAATTCAAGTGATTTGTCTTGTGAAATTCAGGCAGCAAGTCCACCATAGCTTGGAGAAACTTTTCGAATGCCATCTCCCACTCTTTCCCTCATTATTTATGTACCCTGTGTGCATTTCTCAGGCAATGGTATGGCATGGGGTGGCAGAAGTGGTCTTCTTTGCTGGGACATTTCAATATTCATGTCACTGATGCTATAAAGAGAAGAAGAGCATGACCACTCATGTACAGATGGAGAGACCTCAACCAACCCAGCAGACATCATTGTGTTTTGTTCTGTCACTCTTGCATTAACACTAGTGAGAATGCATTCTCAGTCTGCATCAGCTTTTATCTCCCATGCATAACTAACTTCTTCTCTCCTCTTATGTAGACACTAGCAAGACCCAATGAACCACAGCAAGGTAGTTAGCACCACAGACCATCAGCTCAACTTCCATCTCTGAGTATGGACCCATTCAACCCTCCCAAGTAGCCCAGCAAGGCTTCAGCCTCTATTAGCTCAGAGAATTCCACCTTGCTGGGTGCTTTTTCTAGTTTTGACTTGGAAGCACAATCTGGTGAGCTCTGCATTGACACATCTCCTCAGCTTGTAAAGGAAAATATATCCCACATCTTTGGAACTCAGTGAACTGCCGAGACCAGTCACCTCCTCAGCCCCAGGCTGAAGGCCTGTTCTCGGCTATTACTGACTTTGTCAAACTGTGCAAAGAGACACAGAGCTACAAAGTAGGTTTGCCAGAGTCATTTGTTAAGCTGGATCAAAGGGTGGAGAATTCCACTAAAATCTTCAATGTACAGGCTCTGGCATCCATCAAGTTGGCTGTCTCCATGGACTGCTTGGTGTTTGCCATAGTGCACCAGTTGGAAAATCCAACTTCTGGAGTCAACACTTCAACATTGAGTCATACAGTCATACACCACAGATACAGACCCTTCGTCCAACCAGTCCATGCCGACCATAATCCCAAACTAAACTCATCCCACCTGCCTGTGCTTGGCCCATATCCCTCCAAACATTTCTTAATCATGTACTGATCTAAATGTCTTTTGGTGGGTTCTGCTTTGTGATCCATAATTTGGTGATGTTTGGGTGGTTCGAATCACCCCCAGATCCTTGATTCAGTTAATGGACTTATTTAGGGAATGTGAAATGAAAAAGGCAGAGACAGGTGTTTCAGAACAAAAGAATCTCTGCATGTATTAATTACAAAAAGGTAAGCATAATACAAGAAATAAAGGTAAATGCAATAAAACAGTGAAATTAAAACAATCATGCAGAAGACAGTAATTAAATACACTATTAAATCAAATACAGATTAAACACTATTAGGACCTAAACAACATTTTTAATCACAGACACTTTAATCAGGCTTCCTACTCTTGGGGTTCCCTGCACTGTCACCACCCACCTTCCCCTCCCTGCTAGCTCGGTTGGATACTTTGGGATCTTGAGAAAATAAGCTCATCACTGGGGATAAACGCGATTTTGAAATACAGCTGGCCGTTCCCGCTTGCCATTGCTAGTGCTTCGATGAAGACTTCGAACGGTGTAGGGCTTCAGTCTGGGTTGAGTCCACTGATGCGGTTGGATGCATTTTGGATTTATCGGGTGAGTACTTGGATTTCCTTACTTTCTGGTGGTTATGCGGGCCGGATGTGTCTGAGGGCCTTGTGGTGTCAGTCAGGTTGGTGGTTTTTGGAGATTGTCCGTTCTTAGGTCTGCTGGTCGTGGTCGCTTGCTGTTGGTTCCCTGGTACAGAACAGACCTGTGTTGGTAGGTCTCGGAAATGCTGTCGGGATCCCTCTTCTGGAGGTGGCTTTTGGGATCCCTCTAGGGGCGGAGTCTCTTTTGGTGAGATTGGGGTCTGCAATTGTACTAATTGTGAGCCCCTTACCTTCATGCCAAATCTGCACTCGCTATTGTGTTATTGATGTTCCCTTTGGGGTCAGTTGGCTTCCTGACAGTTAGGAGTATGTGTGAATGTATTTTGATTAAAGTTGAATGCACTATATCTGTTTGAAAGAATATTGATTGAAGTTGAACGTCCAGACATTCCAAGATGTCTGGGTTCATAGCTCTAGGTGGAAAAGGTTACTTCCGGTCTAGGTCGGGTTGATTGTTCTCCTAGAGTCGAGGTGTGAGTTGCGTGTTCGGGCTGAACCTTGGTTTCAAGCAGCCACCTCTGTTACTGTGCATTTTCTTCAGAGCTCAACACAGCTGCCTTTTCTCACTTTTAAAAATGTTGAAAAATCCAGGGTTTTGTTTCAGTATTTTAGATAATGGGGATTTTTGCTCAATCCTACACTTTTAAAAGTTGTAATTGCACCTGTATCTACCACTTCCTCTGGAAGTTCATTCCACACCCGAACAACACTCTGTGTAAAAAAATTCTCCCTTGTGTCTTTTATAAGTTTTTCTCCCCTCACCTTAAAAATATGCCCCCAGGTCTTGAAATCTCCCACCCTAGGGAAAAGACAACTGCCAGTCACCTTATCTTTACCCCTCATTATTTTATAAACCTCTATAAGGACTTCAGCACTTTCAAGTTCTGAAGAGACATGCTGGATTCAAAATGTTAACTCTATTTCTCTCTCCACAGATGCTGCTGGGCCTACTGAGTTTCTCCAGCATTCTGTGTGTTTGTTGAAGAACACTCCGTGTGCTGGATATGTGCAGTGACCTGCACTCTTGTAGCCATCGGTGCTGAGCATCAAGGTGAGAAGTAACTCCAATCCAGCTGCACCTTCCTCTCAGTGAGATTGGGTGATCATGTCAGGCAACCATAGGAAGGAGGAGTGATCCTAGAAACTTCCACACAGGACACATAAGAGGCCCTACCCCTGCAACTTCACCTCTGCCTGTGATCCCAAAGTCAGTTGTAGTTCAAGCTATGGAATGTTAGTCTGTATCTGGGCAGAGCTACTCAGCAAACGAGGACCCTCTGTTCCAGTTAACCCTTAATTATTCATTTCCATTACAGACCTCAGGTTGGGGCTGAATAGCTGGATTTGGGTGAGCCACCTGACCTATTTTATGTGCCCCCACACCAACTAGTGAGGTGAGCCTGGCTGAGGTGAACAAGCTGTGGTTCCTTATAGAGAAGGTGTTGGAGACATGGAGGTAATGCAAATTATGAGGGTCAAAGCCATTCAGCCCATCGAAGTAGAGGTAAACTCATACAACAGAATCATTTGATGTGCAAGGAGCCCTTCCTAACTGCGGTATCACCATGGGATCTACAAGACTTTGGCTCCAAAGAGCTCTGGCATGCCTCAGAGAGGACAGATTCTATTGAACTGATGACTTCTGCACTCAGTGGGGTTTTGCATGGGTTCTCTACCAGCACCAAAATGTTGCTGAGACTCTAAAATAGTCCTAATCACTGCACTAAGATTCATATTTAGCTGGCCTCCATGCAATGGACGGGTGATCCTAACCCTAGCCTGGCAAAGGGAATAGTGCTCACTGGTGAGAATGCAAAGGCTCTCTACTGTAGGTCCAAACCATAGGCTAGGAAAATTCAGCAAAATGTGACACTTGAAAACTCATAATATAGAAACATAACCACTGGCATGAAAAGATCTTTTTTTCAATTTAGCCCCCAACAGCACATAACGTCTTGGTGAAACACTCAACAGCATGAACATATTTATTTCTCCAATAGTTACTCTTTTAAATCATTCCATGAAAATCTAGTTTTCAATGTTTCTCTTGCAGATACTGATCAACTTGAACATTTCCAAAATATTCGACTTCTGGTTAAAACAGGGGGCTGGAGGAAAATAGTTATGGAAAAAATATTTTCAAACACTTTTTAGATGCTCTCTTTAGTTTGTAATTTTATTTTTCTTCCAACATAAAATTGATGATTGTACCTTTCATGTTAGTTACTTTTCCCTCATAATACTACACAGTCCCAGAAGAAAAAGTGCAATATGTAAAATTGTTAATAAATATCGTAATGGTCCATAAAAATAATTTTGTTGAACAGCATTTATAAAAGAAATGATATTATATTATAGCATTTCCTTTTCCTATGTACATCCATTTTTATAATTAAATACTTGACCATTTGAAATATAACCCTTTATTAAGTTAAATCCACTTTCTACATTTGCTGCTTTACACTTTACTTGAACATTAATAGCAGCTAGGAAACACAGGAATTGTCACCATCCATCTGCTCTTAACTCTGATTGCTAGTATCTATCACTTTCTCAGCCCTAATTCACTTTTCCCTCCAGTATCAATTAATTCCACAATAGCATTAAACAGCCAGCAGCAATTTAGAGGAAAGAATGATTAAACAATACACTGCATAAATTGAAGTCCTTTTAATTGCTGAGATAGCAATATCTGACATCTGGCAATATCTTTGGAAGATGCATTTAATTTAGAGCATGAAATAACAGATGCCAAGAATTATACACACAATCACCCAGCAAGAAAACTAACTAACCTCTCTATGGTTTGTTCTTGTCTTTCCATAATTGAAGAAAAATGAACAGCTAAGCAGTTATTTATTAATAGTTTGGATCTAATCAGGTTTTTGGAAAATCTTTATTCTTCGATGTTTAAAATCTATGATGATGAAAATAAGAGAACATTTTCAGGTATCCTGATGGACCACATTGATACTTACTTCCATTGTACCAAGTGTGCTGATGTGAGTTGAATTTCTAGCAAGCAATGCTGGATTGAAAGAAAATTACAGGCCACAGTTGATTAGAGTTACTTAAATGATCAAGATTTTACAAAGGTAACTGTTAATATGACCCACGCATCTGAAAATTAGGACTATTTGCTTGCCCACATGTTTTGCACCCTAAGGTCTATTTTAGTTTCTACAATGCAAAACGGTGGCTGCTACAAATGCACTGGCATCATACTGGTTAAACAGCAAACATTCCTAGCTTCCTCCTGTAAATTTGGCATCATGGAATACTGTCCATCTTGAAAGAAGCAATTTTAGAATTAAATCTCAGCAATGGGTTTAACAGAGAAAGTTGATTGTCTCAAGCACCATTTGATGGCATTACTGGGATTTGAACTCATTTCCAACAGTTTAAAGGGTTTTAAAGGCTGACTGATGTTGTTCTTTTTTATTTGACTTTTTAAAGGTGCTCAGGGATGTGTTTTGTAATAGGCACAGGTCATGGTGAGCATTTTTATGACTTTTGATCTAACTTCATGGTCAAGTCATGTACATACGTGAAAAAAGAATCGATTACAAGAAAACATGTTCCAGATTGTGTTTGAAAAGCAAAATTTAAATAGGAGCAGAAGTAGGCCAGTCCATCAGGGAGTAAAAAAGCTACTTGGGCAGAATTGGAACAATAGTGACAAGGAAAGATAAAACGCATTGGAAAATGCCACAACTTGGATTTCCCAAGAGGTGAAGCCTGAAAAATAAGCAGAATGTTTGTATAATTATTTAGCATCAATATTTACAAAAGAAAAAGAGGTTAGTATGCCAGAACTCCCAAGGAAAGTAATACTGAATCAAGAGCAACGCTGCCCAAAATCAACAGAAGCAAAAGAATAATACTGAAGAGCAAAACGCACTAAAAAGTGACAAATCCTCAGGGTCAGATTGTTTCCATCCAAGGCTTTTAAAGGAAATAGTTGACATTGCAAATTCCTTAAACTATTAAATACCAACATTCCCTTGATTTGGTATATTACTTCAGATTGTAAAATTGTGGATGTTATTATAGTAGTTAGGATTAATTTGAAAGGGAAATGGGGAATTTATAGATAACTTTGTCTAACCTTGCTGTCATTGATTCTATTAAGGATAAGATAATGAGCACTTTGAAAACTTTCAGCAGATCAGAGATAACAAGTAAGGTATTATAAATAGCCAAGCCGAAGGAACTTTTAAAGGAATCATTAACATAATGGACAGCAGAATGTCTGTGGATGCTATTCATAAGGATTTACAAAGGCATGTGATACAATAGCTCATAGGAAACTGTCAACTAAAAATGATGTTCACACAATTGAAGGTAAATATTGACCCAGTTAGGAAATTGGCTGTGGGGACGGAGACAGCGAGTAGCAAAGATCAACAGGTACTCAATTGGCAAATGTGATTAACACAACTATGACAAAACCCCACCACCCACAACTACACATTCCCTTACCCTTTACATTCCTGGGCCTAAACTTTCTACAATGGACACCCACCAACACTCCCACCCCACCAGGACCTGATATTCTTCTTCACTCCTGGATTTGATTTACCTCCACTCAGGACCAGACACCCTCCTCAGGATCTGACACCCAGCTCTCCTCTTTGGGTCCAATATATCCTTCTACCCCCAAGTCCTAACATTTGCCCCTCTGTTGGTCAAAACACCTTTATCTCTCCAAAGAGGTGACAACATTTCTTCTCTGCTGCTGGATAAGACATGCCCCTCTCCCCCAGTGGGACCCAACATACTTCCTCCACCAATGCCTGACCATACAACCACCTCTCTCTCCTCCTGGGACTCAATACTCCCTTCACTCTTGCAAAATCCATATCTGCCTCCTGACTGGGCCCGATTTTTCCACCCACCTGACCTACCCTAAATACCCAATGACTTAGCTTTCTTGCCTTGTGCCCTGGCAGTCCACCCTCCTGCATCCTAATTACTGCACCCTACTTAGCAATTTAGCAAGAATAGCTGGCTTGGGACCCTATGCACCTGACACCATTTGAAACCTAGCACCCTACCAACCTGGCAAGCTACCCACATTTTTTCAATTCGTTCATGGGACATGGGCGTCATTGACTAGGCCAGCATTTATTGCCCATCTGTAGTTGCCCTTGAGAATGTGATTGTGATCCGCCTTCTTGAACCGCTGCAGTCCCCATGAAATGGGTTAACCCACAATGCCCATAGGGAGGGAATTTCAAGATTTAGGTCCAGTGCAAATGAAGGAAAAGCGACAAAAACAGATGTTGCTGGAAACGCTCAGCAGGTCTGGCAGAATCTGTGAAAAAAAATCAGTGTTAATGTTTCAGGTCCGGTGACCCTTCCGCATGATGGTAGCTAGGAAAGTGTTGGTTTATATGTAGAAGATAAGGGGGTGTGTGTAAGGAGTAAACCATAGGTGGGGATAGAGCCCAAGGAGGAAGAAGAACAGTTGGACAGACAAAGGAATGAATAATGATCTGGCTAGGAGAGTAAATAGCTGTTAATGGAGAATGTTAGTGACTAACAATAGGAACAGCAATATATTTCCAAGTCAGGATGGTTAGTGGCTTGGAGGACAACTTGCTGTTTCCATGTATCTGTTGCTCTTGTCCTTGTAAGCGGCGGGAGTCCAGGAGGAAGTGCGAGGGCAGCCTGGGAAGGTAAGCTTTTCAATTAAAGAAGTCTTACCTCGCGTGACTCCATTTTTGGAGTGAGTAAGTGAGGTAATATATTTGGGCGGTTGCTTTACCCGAAACACTACCTAAGTAATGTCTCCCACCCATCCTCCTCCTCTAACCAAAAAAAAAGGTTCTGAGTGCTGATTTGGTAAGGCTACGAGTATTTTTTTTAATAGTCTGTTTGGGAATTCAGAACAGTGGGAATGGACGTTAGGGCAGTTGCATGCTCCTCCTGTAGCATGTGGGAGGTAAGGGTCACCACTGACTTCATCTGCGGGAAGTGCACCCAACTCCAGCTCCTCGGAAACCGTGTTAGGGAACTGGAGCTGGGGCTGGATGAACTTCGGATCAT